TTGTGAAAGTTTTTCTGAATTGTGTGTGTGTGTGTGTTATATAAGTTTAAAATCATGGGAATTGAAGATCGACCCCTCACCCTTCCCTCTCCCTGGACCCCTCCCATCATCCCCATTATGNGGGGGGGGGGGGTTCATAAAAGATTATTGAGTGGAAGGGTAGGATGGTTATTTTGATTTAAAGGTGCTTCTAATCCAAGAATAGTTTTTTTAAACTCTTGAACTTCTACTGCTCGAACCATTAACCATCATAGCTTCTATGCGATCAAGGTAATAAGAGGGGAGTAATATTTCAGCACCTCCCCCCCTCTCAAGGGTACATCCCCCCTCCCGGAGTACATCAACCCCTCTCTTACCACCTGATAATATATTGATTATAAAGTATCATTGTACAAGTTCTTCTTCAGTGATTTATAATAATAATAATAATTAATTATGATACTGATAACAATGATGATTATAATAAATAGAACCAGATTAATAGATCGAGACGTCTTCATTAGGTTTATATATCTTAAGCTGCTAAGCTGATCTGAGACCGAAGTTTATGTTACTGATACAAACCTGAACAAACCGTACTTAAGCGTGGGTAAAAGAAAACTTAAGTCTAGTTTTAATTCTAGTCTCTTCATGAAACTCATTAATTATTTCCTAATTTATAAATTGGTAAAATTAATGGAAAGGTTTTCAGGAGTAGATTATTTACAATAACAAATATTATCTCTGATTTTACTGCTTTTATTTCTACCACATATAATTAAATGTATCTATATTCTATATAGATTCTCTAAAATATATTTTATGAATGTTTAAATACTGCGTGCTCTCCAATCTAAAAATCATAAAACAAAACAAAACTAAAATGTTTTCTGACGGAACTAATTTTATTAGAATTGTGATTTAATATTCAAAAACAATCCGCTTTTGAATCGATTAAACACTCTTTGATGAAATCAATTTTTAGAAAATATCAGAAATAGAATATTTTAGCAGGAACAAGTTTTTATCTACAAAGATAGAGTTTACGGTTTTGACATAAAACTAAGTAACCGGATATTTGGAGAAGAACATTTTTAAAACAGAAACGTTTTAAACATTTCAAATGCAGTCTAGTAGCAAACAAGATCATTAAAATATTATTTTTTTTTTAAATTTACGGCACATTCTGTTTTTGGGGTTTATGTATTGAAATATTTATGTTTTTTTGTTTGAAATATCCTCTTTCAGGGTTTGAATTTTGGACAACCTATTTTAATGCTTGTATTTTGGACATCCTATTTCAAGGTTTGAATTTTGGACATCCTACTTCAAGGTTTGTATTTTGGACTTCCTATTTTAATGCTTGTATTTTGGACATCCTATTTCAAGGTTTGTATTTTGGACATCCTATTCCAAGGTTTGTATTTTGGACAACCTATTTTTAAGGTTTATATTTTAGACATTCTATTTAAGGTTTGTATTTTGGACAACCTATTTCAAGGTTTGAGTTTTGGACATTCTATTTCAAGGTTTGTATTTTGGACATCCTATTTCAAGGTTTGTATTTTGGACATCCTATTTCAAGGTTTGTATTTTGGACATCCTATTTCAAGGTTTGTATTTTGGACATTCTATTTAAGGTTTGTATTTTGGACATCCTATTTAAGGTTTGTATTTTGGACAACCTATTTCAAGATTTGAATTTTGGACATCCCATTTCAAGGTTTGTATTTTGGACATCCTATTTCAAGGTTTGTATTTTGACATCCTATTTCAAAATTTGTATTTTGGACATCCTATTTCAAGGTTTATATTTTGGACATCCTATTTCAAGATTTGAATTTTGGACATCCTACTTCAAGGTTTGTATTTTGGACATCCTATTTCAAGGTTTGTATTTGGACATCCTATTTCAAGGTTTGTATTTTGGACATCTTATTTCATGGTTTTTGTTTGACAGGTTTCAGGTTTCCATGTTGCAGGCTATTTGATTTAAAATAGAATGTTTGAAACATAACTTCGTTGAAATCATGGTTTCAATTTCAGATAAAACTATTTAAACTTTGAACATTCTGTTGGATCGATAAACAACAGTATCATTCTATAGAAAAAAGCTAATATTAATCAATGCAAGTTTACACAATACACGAAATACAAAGTCAAATAGAAGATAACTGGAATGTACGTAAGCCTTTATTGGCGTGTACTCTGCATCTACATATGGCTTTTTTTGTTGACTTTTCTGTTTGTTGGCTTGTTCTGTTTGGGTGTCTGTTTGTTGTTTTAACCGAAAACGTCAAAACTGCTGAACCGGTAGTGCCTAATTTTTGTGGTATCTCCATTGACCCTAGGGAATGATCCCAGGGAACGACCCTTAAAGGGAATGACCCCAGGGAATGACCCCAGGAAATGATCCAAGGGATTGACCCCAGGAAATAACCCCAGGGAATGACCCCAGGGATGACCCCAGGGAATGACCCCAGGGATGACCCCAAGGAATGACCCCAAGGAATGACCCCAGGGAATGACCCAATGGATTGACCCCAATGAATGACCCCAAGGAATGAGTGTGACCTGTAGAAATTAAAGAATTTTGCCAGGAAGTTTGCTTTTTGAAACTCCATACATTTTTTTAGATCGGCATTTTTTGTCTTGTTTATAAAAAAATAAAGGCTTGAAATTAACATCTAAAAGCTTTAATTGCTACTAGGAAAAGATGCAGAAATCGCCTTGAAACCCTACTTTTGTAAATTTATCGTCTTATGATTTCTGAGCAACGCTGTACCTCGTAATGTCTAACTTATAATAAGAAAGTATTTAAACATAAATTTAAGATGCAGCTGGTCTGGTTTAGTTGGTTTAAAAGTGGTTTAAACTAGGTACTTCAGTATACAATGGTTTCTTTTTAGTGGTAAAATCTCGAATACTTGAACGATGGAGATAAAATCTGGACGACGGAGGGGGGGGGGGAGTTGCTTTCAAACCTGCATTCAATATTTTATACAAAGAAAAGAATAAATCTATTCCATGGTACAGAAATATATATAAAGAATTAAGTCTTTGTCACAATCTCTGATTTGGTGATCAGTATAAAAATAAATAAAATAATTTAAGCTTGAAAGGTTTACACCATTAGGTTGCAAAAACAAAGGAATTAGAAAGTTTGAAAGTAGGAAAATGAAGAAGAGAACTGAGAAGAACAAAATTAAGAAGAAATAGAAATTTATAAGGAATAAAGAATAAAATTTTGTTAGAGGCAAATTTTTGAAAATTCCATAAACATTCTATGAGGTCACGCGAGGTCCCACAAACAATTTGGACCCGATCGGTCCAGCCATTTTGACGTTTATTGGAAACAAACAGACAAACAAACAGACAAGCAAAGTATATATATATTATTATATAGATGTTGAAGCGTAAACTAATATTTTTGTTTTGTCTCATGATAAGCGTTGAACCCTGTTTTAGAAGAGCAACTAAAATTTATCAATTACTCACCCAATATGGTCTTACCCCCCCTTCCCCTACCCCTCCTTCCCTAAATAATCATGGTAAACTTGAAATAAAGTTGAAGTGTCTTGTTGACGACACTTAGCTTCGATTATAACATAAATCACACGCAATGGTTTCCAAAACTAAACTGCAACTTGAAGGCTAGTTCAGAAAAGTTTATCATGAACTAAAACTGCAATTGGTCCCTGCTCCAGTGCTCACCCTACTCTAAATATTGCAGGATCCGAGCCAGTACAGCATGTACTTTGTAATGTGTATGCATTTAGTCGTACTGTCCAGTCTAGACAACCCAGTGGACAGTCGACTCAGCACGTTTTATGCAAAAATTTAGCCTGCTATGATCACAGTGATATTAGCTAAATACTAAAATATAATCATGTTAGAACTTGAAGTTTAGAAAAGTGGTAATTTTCTAAAAATCTTCTTTATCTATTATTAAAGTTTAATGTTTACATGTTCGAAGTGTACGAGTTGAGTGTATGAGGGGGTGTGTATGCATGTGAGTATATTTGTGGTGAGTAAGAGACCACAACAACGGGTGTATTGGTATAGTACAATACCAGCACAATATTACAAGATAATATTTCTAATTCCAATAATTCAAAAATCTCTCTAGAGACTGTGGGGAGGGGGGGCTGATTCACTAGGGTTCCTTTATCTGATCATTAATTGTCGTGTTTCTAGCTTGAAAAGTGTTTAATTCTGACATTTTTCTGTATTGTTACTTAAAAAATAACGTCTACAGTTCCTTTAAATATAATACAACATATTACATATTTATGGATGAATTATATTGATGAATTGTATGGATGAATTATATGGATGAAATATATGGATGAATGATATGGATGAATGATATGGATGAATTATATGGATGAATTATAAGGATGAATTATATGGATGAATTATATGGATGAATTATATGGATGAATTATTTGGATGAATTATATGGATGATTTATATGGATGAATTATATGGATGAATTATATGGATGAAATATATGGATAATTCATATGGATGAATTATATGGATGAAATATATGGATGAATTAAATGGATGAATTATATGGATGAATTATATGGATGATTTATATGGATGAATTATATGGATGAATTATATGGATGAATATGGATGATTTATATGGATGAATTATATGGATGAATTATATGGATGAATCATATGGATGAATTATATGGATGAATTATATGGATGAATTAGTCTGGTTTGGAGAAAATCAAGATAATAAAGTTATATTTCGTTTAGATGTAAAAATGTGTTTGCGTCCGCGCCCTTGATTCTTAGTTTTATAAACCTTGTTCAAAAGTAAAGAATCTTCCATCAATACAGATTGAAATATGAGACGAGAGACATAAAATTATGCTTTTATGTCCTTTCAAATATTTGCAAGGATACAAATCTATCTTATTAGGATGATCTAAATTTCACGATTTTCTCAAATGCTTATTTTTAAAATATATCTTTTCTTTTTTGATAATTTTTTCTTTTAGTTCTGAGCTACGAGTTTATGGACGACATGTACTACGAGTATGACAACTTGAACACTATTGAGGAATCAGCTGTACATCAAGTCGGTACAGTACAAACACCAGCCTTCATTACGTCATCATTAGGTACTGTTTTAATGCCGTTATGATTCAAGTTATGAACTGTCAACATTAAACACTGTGATTGTACTTTTACACTGTACAATGTACAACTACACAAACCCATTTAACTTATTATTTCAATTTTCAAGCAACTGGTAACATTAGATTTTCTCCAAAACAACATCAAATTCACCTAGATTGCTTAATGTTTTATGTTTTAAAGATCCCACTGTAACTGGTTTTAAATCTTGTCTTGTACTAAGTCAATAAACGTGGCCTTTTAAAATTTCAACGTGTAATAGATATAAATTAAACATTCAAAATTAAACAAAACCCCTTTGAAACATATGTATTGCATGTAACCCCCTTACCCTCTAATCCCCCCTGTTCCCCCCCACCACCGCACAAACAATATCCGCTGTTCCTTCCTGATCCGTAATCCTTGCACCCCCTTTTTAATCCCTGAATTAATGCAGTGAAAGGATTTGAGAACTTTAATCCTCGTTTCTTTTGATTTAAACTTCTGTCATCATATTTCAGATTGCAAAGGTTCATGGAACCAAAACTATTTAAAATGCACTGTGCACTTTTTCATAATCCAACTTTTTGTCACAAAATAATATTGTCTAATTTCTATATTATTGCAACCTGATTGTGTAAATCTTTGATATTTTAAACTTTGATCATTTGATCCAACAGAATTCGATCAAAGTTTGATCTATCCAAGGTCTACGACATTGGGTTGTAGAGATATAGGAATTAAACAGTTTTTGTGGCAAAGACTCTTATCATTTAGCCTTTGCTTTCATTTTCAATTTACAATCTTTAGACAAATGAACTTGATAATATGTTGACGTACCCGTATATTGTAACATATTGTAAGATTGTATTGTAAGATCATTGTCTATAATTGTAAATAAGCCCTTTATCAATATGTTGAATGTACATTGTTGTTGTACATAATACAGTGCACGATACACACAAGTCTTTAGTTTCATGCAAACTCATTCAAATTTTGTAAACCCGATCTGGGAAAACAAAACTTTTTTGTGCAAATTTTACTTTCTATCTATCTCTATCTATCTCTATGTATCTATCTATCTATTTATCTATCTATCTATTTATCTATCTATCTATCTTTCTATCTATCTATCTATTTATCTATCTATCTATCTATCTATCTTTCTATCAATCTATCTATCTATCTATCTATCTATCTATCTATCTATCTATCAATCTATCTATCTATCTATCTATCTATCTATCTATCTGTTTAGATAAAACTGTCAATGAGGGTGAGACGATACGACTGCCCTGCAAGGTAGTCTCTTATATTTTAATAATAAATATTAAGGCTGATCATTGATGATGTATTTCAGATAAATTCCTGAATTTTTGGCCGTATTTGATTACTTGCTTTACACATATTAAAATAACACCAGACTGTCCTTGTAAAAACACTTGTGCATAAAGTTAGGAAAGAAAAACAAACAAATAATTTTAAAAATCTTTATAAAAATTTCAGGTTGATAATCTGCAGGGGTTTGTTCTTCTGTGGAAAAAAGATGAAAAAATTCTTACTTTAGGAAACAGTATTGTTAATAATGTAAGTATTCATATTTTATTCAAAATACAGAAACTATTTGAAAATAGAAGAGAAAAGAAAATATGATTAGATTTCAATAATTTGACCAAAAATTTATTATTTTTCAGATTTATTTCGAAACTCTGTGATTTTTGATCAACATATTTATTTGTTGTTTATTTATTTCTTTAGACATTTTTTTAAGATGCATAATATCTCGATTCTTGGAATTAGGAACACAACCAAGCCAATATGACCGCTCTTAGATGCCTTTACAGGGCCAGAATAATTTCTAAATAAGGCAATCAATTTAATCATCTTAAAGCATTTGTGATTACTCAATCTAATATTTAACAACCCAATAGTTATACCGTTACGAAGAGAAAAGCTGAGTTTAAATGAAAGTATAGATAATCTGACTCTCAGGGACATCTGTGAGCAACAAAATGACTTAGTTTTGGCCCTAATTCCAATGATAGGGGTGTCATGTGCAGTAATTTATCATTGAGATTTATAATTTCGTGTGCAGGAGGATGGAAGGTATCTGCTAGAACTGGGAATGGACGGTAACACTCTGGTGATTAGGCTGGTCAACCCGGCAGACCAGGGTCTGTATACCTGTCAGGTGAATATATATATAGAACACGCTGGTGATTAGGCTGGTCAACCTGGCAGACCATGGTCTGTCTACCCGCCAGGTGACTAATTAGAACAGGTTAGTAAACCTGGTAGACCAGGGTCTGTATACCTGCCAGGTGAATATATATAGAACACGCTGGTGATTAGGCTGGTCAACCCAGCAGACCAGGGTCTGTATAAATGCCAGGTTAATATATATATGACAGGCTGGTGATTAGGCTGGTCAACCCAGCAGTCCAGGGTCTGTATACCTGCCAGGTGAACAGTCTGGTCAACCCAGCAGACCTTGGAACCTAGAATCTTGAATCACCGATTCAAAGTTAGGAAATTTTAAAGAGTTTAAAAATTTGAAACGGCTGTATCATGTATGTACTTTAGTGACCTTTCCGTAATTCATTAAATTCTGTTCCAGGGTCTGTATCAAGCCGCAGGGTTTTATTCCCCCCTGTTAGATTAAACTACTTAATCTAATCTAAAATCTAGTAGTTTAACTTTGACTTTTTTTTCGTTGAATGGTGAAAAGCCGTAGAATAGATTTACCATGATTACCCTCTTCTCCCTGAGAACTTAGAAGTTAACTGAAAGTTTGAAATTTAAATATTTATTTTCTAGGTTTCTGCATTTAAACCCAGCTATATATCTCACAGACTAGCTGTCAGAGTTAAACCAGTAATCAGGATTGAAGAGGGAGCTAAAATTGTTCTAAAGGTGAGTTAAACTTTAAGCAATTTAAATTTTCATTCTTATTTTTGTTTTCAACTATAATTCTCCCCTTCCTGTGTTGTAGGAGGGTGTAGAGTCAAGACTTACTTGTTCCGTCCTCTCCGGGTCTCCTGAACCTACCCTTACCTGGAGACTAGATGGAATAAAGGAAACTTATCAAACCTCTCATCTCTGTTTTCTAAACTTTAATTAGAATCTTAATTAAAATAAACCTAAATTATATCCGTCCCTTTCTCAAAACAAAAGCACCTAAAACATATTTGTTTGAATTCAATAGCAAAATTTGAAACATCAAAATTATTTGCACATTCGAGAAAACAGGATTAGTTAATCCTTCTAAAGGGATTATCAACATAAACCTCAGTGAATCTGCAACTAAAGAGTTTCAGAAATGATTCACAATAGTTCCCGTAAATTTTGTATCTCTTCATTAGACTGAAATAGATTTTTATCGTCTCGTGCTATAGAAATCCACAAGTTTTTTTTATGATAAGTTTAAAATCCTTAAATACCTAACTGAAGATTTGATTTTCTGAGTTTAGGTTGGTGAAGGGAGACATCTAGTCTGGTCTTCTATAGATAGGTAAATTAAAGAAACAGTAGATGCAACTTCAAGTAAATCCTCCAAGTTGTTGCGTAGCATGTCCGATTTACAACGATACCCTATAATTCTTTATCTGAATATCCAAAAAGAATTCTAGTGTATAGCTTTATATCATATGGTTCCAGATGGAACTCAATGTTCAGCTAGAAAAATAAGTATATCTCCGCGGATACAGTTTTCAAAGTTACCGTTGTGAATCGGACATGTCACTCTATAAATGGAGGGTCATTTGAAATTACTTCTACAATCCCTTTAAAGAATTCATTACGAATTGGATTTATATTCTTTTCTTTTTTATATGTGTTTAATGTTTGTTTCTCCAAAACTATGCAAGGTTTGGATGAAATATGTAATTTTTAAAACTTGGCAGCGTAAATTAGCAAGAAATTCCTGGCGATTAATAACCTAATAAATATAATTGTTTGTTTTAACTAATCTGAAATTTTCCCAACAAAAAAATCTGAGAAATTTCAATATTCAAAAAATAAAAATAATACAATTTTTTCCTGAAGGATGGATAGTGGTGTGTACAGCTGCGAAGCTCAGAATGGTTTCAGTACAACACCTTCAGTTGAGAATATTACTGTACAAGTACAATGTAAGGGTTTGATTGTATGCTTTCTGTTTTCATGCATTTATTCATTCAATCATTTGGGGTTTGGATTAATTGCAACTTTTGTAACATCGGATACTTTGTTCAAAGGGAGTGACCGGCTATGTAAGGTAGGTGAACTGAGTATGCAGTGTTGTGGCAAACTTCTTTCGGATTCATGTGAGACATATAAAACTTTTTAAAGATCTGTAAATCCTGAGTTTGAGCGCAAATTCGACGTTCAAAACTCCTACTTTGGGGGTAGATATGTTTTCAGAATTAGCTTTTTTAAATTATTAAATAACGACGACATAAAATGTAAAAAAAAGTTCTACACTAAACTACAAGGAGTCATGTATAGGAACATTAAAATTAATCTTATCATCGAAAATAAGTAATCTTGTTCAATTATTAGTTTCTATTTTCTCATTATTCTGGTTTCTCATTATTCAGAAAGATTTTTGCATTTTCGCAGATTTTCTAGAATTATTATTTAAAAGACGACATTTGAAGAATTTGAGAAATCTGCGAATAAATTCAAAGAAAATAAGAAATTCAATATAATAATGAAAACGAAATAATCGATTTTAGCATTGATTTATTTATTGATTTTTTGAGAAATATGTTCCGGCTAACCATCTAATTAGATTACTGTATAATTTTTAACTTTATTTTTCGTTGTCGTTATTTGAAAAAAAATTAATTTAAAAAAAAACTAATTCTGAAAACGAATCCACCCCCAAAGTAGGAGTTTTGCGCTCAAACTCGGGATTTATAGATCATTAAAAAGTTCAATATGTCTTAAATGAATCCGAAAGAAGTTTTCCACAACACTGCATTCAACTGCATTCAACATAGCCGGCCACTCCCTTTAAGAACTTGAAAATGTAATGTTACAAATCTAAAACTTAAACGATTGATTGAATAGAAAGAATACAAAAAGAGAGTAAGTTATTTGGCCCCCTACTTCCTCCCCCACTAATGTTTTTTTTGCAGCTTTGCGAGACTTCATATAAAAATATGTCCTAGCCCCGGCGCTTGGCCCCTCCCAGCCTTTCCTAGCCGCAGCGTTGCCCTCCCCCCCCTCTACCCAGTTATAACAAAAGCGCTCGGCCCAGAAATTGTCATAACCTAACCTAGCCCTCAAATAATATATAGTCTCGCATGGTTGCATACAAATTACATGGTTGGGGGTCATGAGCGGCGGTTCTAGGATGGATCCGAATAAATAAGTAAATTCCATTCCATGTTTTAATTTCAGCAATTTAAAGTAAAATAATTAGATGCCTTAAAAAAATTTGCAGAAACAATCATTAAGATATGTTCTTCTTTCTATAATCTTATCATCATCATATTTGGAACCCAATATTTGATCGGAAAGGGTTGGATGTTAACTTCTTTAGCTGAGTAAGTATCTGAAGTTTTGTTAAAGTTTTCTTGTTTAGATGGTCCAGAAATTATGTTCAACTCTAAACTTGTAGAAATGGACAACTCATCACTTGTTACAGGAAAGAAACACTTCAACCCTCTAGAGACAGCTACAAGAGAGTCAGATTGGAGTGGGAGGGGAGGGGGGGATTTCAAGATAGAGGGAATCTTGACTTATGTCACTACGGGTGTTGTAAGGTTGTATTTATGAACAATAAGGTATAAACTAAAGGAATAGAATAAAATAGGAATAAAATCTGTTGAATAGGGTTTCTTGCTTTTAACGAAATAATCTCTCTCCTTAGGAAAACAATACAGATTTTTGTATGTATTTTTATCTCTTGGTCATGGTTTGGGACTTAATTGAGGAATTCAGGATATTATCATGGTAGAAGATAAATATTTAATATTCGCTGATTGGGAGGGAGGTTGGGTTAACTAACTAACTAACTAACTAACTAACTAACTAACTAACTAACTAACTAACTAACTAACTAACTAACTAACTAACTAACTAACTAACTAACTAACTTACTAACTAAATAACTAACTGACTTACTAATTAACTAACTAACTAACTAAATAACTAAATAACTAACTAACTAACTAACTAAATAACTAACGCGAGAAAAAATGTGTTTTTTTTTCTCTACAGAAGTTAACTGCACTGCAACTGCACTTCCTAAACCCAGTGTAGCCATTTTAAAGGTAAACTCATAAATAAAGGAATTGACCCTTTGAAACAAAATCTGATGATCTCATCCCTATGTCTTTGCAACCCAATGTCGTAGACATTAGATATTTCAAACTTTGAATATTGTTAGATCAAATAATCTGAGTTTTACACTATCAGGTTGCAAAGATATAGGAATTAGAACATTTGATTTTGTGCAAAGACTCAATTCTTTTAAGACAAAATATTTAATTCCGAAATTTAAAATTTAATTTTTTTTATACCTAATACTGGTATTTATACCTAATACTAGTGTTTTTTATGAATGGTTAAATATTTGAAGCAATATTTTGAATTTTAAATGCATTGTGTTGAACTAATCACACTGTTGCTATTTCCGGATGCATTCTAAATTTTACTCAATTTAATGCTAATTAACTAAATTTAAATTACCCCTCATCAATACAATGAATATTGTATATTCAAGATTACTATTTCTAGCAATGTTAACAGTATAGTTGTATATAAAGTATAGTTGTTCAGTCCAATTAGTTTATAGACTGGCATTCCAAACATCTTAAAACTGTCACCAATCTATTAAAAAAGAGAACCGGGAATTTTTGTTTAGTTTTCCTAGACTTAGCTGTAGAGTTCAGCAGCTGAACCCGTCATCTTTAAAGTTTTCTATTTGATGTCAAGTTCAGAAGCTGAACCCGTCATCTTTAAAGTTTTCTACTTGATGTCAAGTTCAGAAGCTGAACCCGTCATCTTTAAAGTTTTCTACTTGATGTCAATTTCAGCAGCTGAACCCGTCATCTTTAGTTTTCTACTTTATGACAAGTTCAGAAGCTGAAGCCGTCATCTATAAAGTTTTCTACTAGATGTCAAGTTCAGCAGCTGAAGCCGTCATCTATAAAGTTTTCTACTAGATGTCAAGTTCAACAGCTGAACCCGTCAAATTTAAAGTTTTCTACTAGATGTCAAGTTCAGAAGCTAAACCTGTCAAATTTAAAGTTTTCTACTTGATGTCAAGTTCAGAAGCTGAACCCGTCATCTATACATTTTTCTACTAGATGTCAAGTTCAGAAGCTGAACCCGTCATCTATAAAGTTTTCTACTAGATGTCAAGTTCAGAAGCTGAGGCTGTCATCTTTAAAGTTTTCTACTAGATGTCAAGTTCAGAAGCTGAACCCGTCATCTTTAAAGTTTTCTATACTTGATGTCAATTTCAGAAGCTGAACCCGTCATCTTTAAAGTTTTCTATACTTGATGTCAAGTTCAGAAGCTGAACCCGTCACTTTAAAGTTTTCTACTAGATGTCAAGTTAAGAAGCTGAACCCGTCATCTTTAAAGTTTTCTACTTGATGTCAAGTTTAGAAGCTGAACCCGTCATCTTAAAAGTTTTCTACTAGATGTCAAGTTCAGAAGCTAACGCCGTCATCTATACATTTTCTACTAGATGTCAAGTTCAGAAGCTAACCCCGTTATCTATAACATTTTCTACTAGATGTCAAATTCAGAAGCTAACCCCGTTATCTATAACATTTTCTACTAGTCTCTTTTTAAATGTTAAAAATTTTTTAAGTAGAATAAAATGAAAATTTGAATATTTGTTTAGGGCCCCTCTGCAGTGATCAGCAACACTTCAACACAAATAGGAGATACAGTCACTATAACTGCTAGACTATATGGAGAAGGAAAACAACCAAATATAATTAATCATAAATAAATAATCATAAATAAATAATCATAAATAAATAATCATAAATATAAGAACAAAAATTAGATAAACTTTTTTAGTTGATAAATAAACCACTGAGCCAGTCTTGGGGAGTCTATCCTTTATTTTCAAGTCTAGCGTTCAAAATTGAAATTAGATTCATCTGTATTCCCTAAAATGTTTAGACTCGAGCCTTATTTTAGTCTCAAGTCTTTCGAATGATTTTTCGCGAATTACTTGAGTTGCAGCCTATGATTTAAATACTCTCCTAAGAATTGGGCGCTAAAAAAAAGAATTAAAGGGAGTGTGAGCGCATATTCAAGTGACCCTCCAAGCAAAGATGGTAATATCCGATTCATCGGTAACCTTTCTCTTATCAAACATGAATTAGATATCAATGTTTATAATTTCTAAAACTGATTATTTTCTATTGTGGTCCCTTTACAAAACTGCATTTCTACTGCTTCCACATTATTGATAAGATACCAAGATGTCAAGGGTACCATTGTGAATTAGGCAAAGCCATACATGTATGAAGGGTCACGTACAGTTCTTTATAAAAGTAAAAAATGAAAATGTATAACACCCCTCTTGTACTTCCTGCTTAATTATATAAAGGATTCCCTGTAAGGGTTAATCCGTGTAGTTTAACCAGCTAGCTTAGATTACACGTAAACCAAGGTTCAGGTTACATCTAGACAACACCTGCAGGGTCTACTTAGATAATATTTATAAATTTTTATAAATATTGGTAAGCATGTCTTTTGGATATCTATGAGTAGAGTAAATACTTTGTTAATAATAATTTGTTTAAAAAATAATTCTCAAACTACCTTAAAGGGACTTTGGGCGTACTTTTAAGCAACCCTTCATTTATTAAGTGGAATTACGATTCTCAACGGTACTCTTGAAACCTCAGTATTATCAAGGATGAATAAGATATTCTTATCTTTTCAGTTAAAATTTCATTATTTCCGACTGTAGGGTCTCTTATAAGCTTAATTGCGGATTTTTGCGACAGAGAAAAGAAATGAAATTATCAGAATTCAACTCGTTTTAAGGTAGAAAACCGGTATTTTTCTCTTTGTTGCTTAATAAAGGGGTTGAAGGATGCCTTTGTGATTCGTATATGTCGCTCTTGAAATGGAGGTTCACTTGAAATTACGTCTGCACAGTCACTTTAATGTACAGACAATTATTTTTAAATAATCATAACTTAAAGTTCTGGAAGTATTGAATAAGACCCTTTATCTCTTATATAGTACTTGTATACACGACAGTTCCCTTTAAACATATATCAGAGATGGAATTTAAATAATTTAAGCCGCGGTTTAAATCCGCCAAAACCCGGTTTAATTTAAGCGCGGGCTTAAATCTTGAAACATTTGATACAATTTTAAGTGGAACCAACCATTTTTAAACCGCGGCTTAACTTTAAAACGCCGCTCAAATTCTTTAAATTCGGCCACTGATCAATTAAACTCTAAGCTATATAGATTGTAAATAGTAGTTTATAAACAAAATTCTCACACAATTATATATATTTATACCTTTTATGATAAATTACGCGTTAATGGCCTAAACGCGTGATACTAATGATGATAATAAGTCAGGTTTAGTATTAAAACTATGCTATTATTAAATGTAGCATTTAAGTAATGTGGCGGAAAGGGGAATTGAATGGAGGAAAGGAGGAAAGGATAAGAATAGACTTTTAAAAAAGAACGAAACGATAAGTTGCGACCAAATCCAATTTTAATTTCACTTCGCTCTAGCCTCTATTAATGTTATTTTTATATTAAATATAACAATAATATTTATCTATGTAATTGACGAGCAAAAAATACTGGTTCCGTGAACCTTTAATATTAATACCTAATATCATGATTTTTATTTGACCCTTACTTGTCCTAATTAGCAGGGAACTATTTCATTAAAGATTTGAAAATAGGGAGGAGGAGGGGGATTAATGCAGTG